CATACCTGGGCCTTGCTTGTGAAAGCTCTTGGTCACCAGGATTCCATCTGGAGTAGGTGGGGAGACTGCTCCATCTGGGGTGCCCTGGTGACATTGGCCCATAAAGATCTCTGGAACTGTGGTGTCTTCTGGGACTTGCTGCTGTGTCTCTGAACCAGGGCTGTTGCGCCAAGATGGCGCCTGGAGGCAGATTTTGGGTGTGATGGGATTTGCCATTTGTCTCTGGGCCAAGGCTGTTGGTGCGCTAAGATCCACATTACAAAAATTTCAGCAGATTATATCTTGGTGAGGTCCATCCTGAGACGGAGGAGTCGGGCTTGGAGTATTGCAGCAATTTTCGACTGTGGAAGCAAGTGGCTATTGGGGACTCTGGTTGGGTGGGCACATGCCAACCCACCCCCTCCAATTTACTCTGATCTCTTTAGCCATGTATGGGTCCGAGCTTAAGTGTAGTTTTTGATCTCTTTTGAGATTTATTTAGGGATCTCTGAGGCAAGGCCAATAGTAGAGCTTACAGGCTGCCGCTGAAGTTGTTTCATGGGGGTGACTGCCAATACTTCTCATGTATTGGGAAGTGGGAGAGGTAGCCCATTCCAACTCTGAGTGAGTTTGTATAGCTGAGCTGGAGGTGGCTTGTGGATGTAACTCCCACATACCTAACTTTGGGCCATTTAATTTCGTGGTAAACTTGATCCCAAGTGGTTGGAGTCTGGTCAAAGGCACAGCGGCAATTTTGGGGTATCAGGAAGCCTGAAGGCAACATCAGGCTGCTGATGCACTCGCCTCACAGGTACAGATTGACCTGCTGGCGGCACCATACCCCCAGGCAGTATTTATTAATGTGAGTCTGGAACTCAGAATAGAGGCCTAAGATAGGAATATGCAATTGAGGTTTGGGTATATAGACAACTCCTTCAGCTAAGAGAATGGCAGATCATTTCCTTCTCAGTAAAACAGAGCTCAACTAATTCCTTACAGTTCATGCATTCAAGGAAAATTAGAAAGTTTCTTCTGAACCTGGCTTTGCATTTTCAAATTCCATTTGAGAAAGCACTGTTATTAATCTTCCCACCTTTCTAATACCCAAAGCCAAGTATATCCAAGAACTTCTTCCTCTCACAAACTTTAATTCAGTGGACCATACACCATCAGTTTGAACTGTGTATTCCACCTATGTGTAGAGATTTTTCAAACAACATAAACTTACAATATCACTAAACACAGTACAGAGCCGAAGAGAAGGACAACATGGAGGGCGGGATCCACAGATCCCGAAGGGGAAAAAAAAAAAACAGGTTCCAAAAAGAGCCGAGATCATCGGGAAGCCCCAGATGGGGTAGGTACCGCATCCCGCCTCCCCCAGATGGAACCCCGGTGACCAGAAGCCTCTACAACCACAGCTCGAGTATGCGGGAACTAGGACTTTTCCTCAAAACCGCGCGGCCGCATAACATCTCTCTATATACAAAGTGATCCATGGGAAGTAAACCACCCAACGTTTCTCTCTGAAAATCATAGTTAAGTTTGGAGCATGGCCACAGCCCCAGAAACACAAGGACTTAATGCATAACCCAGCAGCTTGGAGCAGAAAAGTGAACGGGCTATGCGTTAATCCAGGCCATCATGACTGTCCGGAGGGGAAAGGGTGTTGCCCCATTCGCCCTCTCTTCTCTGGAAAGAAGGATGGCGGCCGCATGGGAGCCTTGTGGACAGCAGGTATGAGCCGGGGGTGTGGGGGCGACTAAAACCTCATGGGAAAGGGGGCATTCCGGTCCGTCCTTCATGCCCTACCGAGGTCACCAGTTGCTCCCCACGAGCGGTTCTCCAGCACGGCCACGGCCCCAGAAGCACAAGGACTTAATGCAGAACCCGGCAGCTTGGAGCAGAAAAGTGAACGGACTATGCGTTAATCCAGGCCATCAGGTCTGTCCGGAGGGGAAAGGGTGTTGCCCCAGTCGCCCTCTCCTCTCTGGAAAGAAAGATGGCAGCCGCATGGGAGCCTTGTGGACAGCAGGTATGAGCCGGGGGACTGGGGGCGACTAAAACCTCATGGGAAGGGGGGCGTTTCGGTCCGCCCTTCACGCCCTACCGAGGCCACCAGTTGCCCCCCACTAGCGGCTCTCCAGTACGGCCACGTCTCCAGAGCACAGAAACCAATTTCTTAACTATCTGACTTTCAGTAGAAATACTTCCAGGGTCAATAAGTAAAATAGCAGAAATCCAAAACCAACATATAATTCTTGAACCCAGCTGTAGAAAGCAAATCACTTCACAATGCTTTTTCAGCATGTCTGATTTGGGGCGGGGGGTAAACTCTAAATAATAGTGGTGAATCTTTTATTGAAACAATGAATCTAATCATAGCAGATAGAGTGTTAACTAGAATTCATCTGCCCCACAGGGACTGGGAGGGGTGGGGGTGGGGTTTTATTGGGGTTCTTCATGGTAAAAAATAAGTTTTGGTAAAAGGAAATGTGTTTGATATTTGCATGACTGAGACCTAAACCTGAAATCTTTGTAACCTTTTCCCACAGTGATTCAATAAATAAATAAATAAATAAATAAAAAATAAACACAGTACAGCACTATAAATGTACCTTTTCTCTCTTTTATTTATGGTTTTGGGTCACACCTTGTGGTGCTCAAGGCTTAGTCTTGGCTCTGAACTCAGGTATCACTCCTGGAAGGCTGAGGGACCATATGGGGTCCTGGGGGTCAAACCTGGGCTGGCCATGTGCAAGTCTTACCCACTGTACTACCATTCTGACTCATAAATGAACTTTCCTCTCTCATGATTTTCTTAATAATATTTTTCTTTTTAAAAAAAATATGTGAAACATGCAACAAATAAAGTAGGTTTTAGTTGACTACTTATGTTTTTGCTAAGGCTTCCAATCATTAACTACTAGTAGTCAGATTTACAACAGCACAGGAGGAAGTCTGTGTATATGGACGGAGTCAGAAATATATGCAGATTTCCAACTGTTCAGGGTTGTCATCCAGAAACCCACCTTGTTCAAAATCTGACTGTAATATTCTGAATCTAATACTTTGAATATTTAAAAAAATTATTCTCAGAAACATTAACTCTCAATATCACATGTCTGGCAATCAATTGAGCCATGAGTGAACCTTGTGTGGGGGAAACTTAAATTTAGAATAAAGGGGAACGAGCTCTCTAGAATTCTGTATAGGCACAGAAGAGAGGATTATGTAGTGTCCTTCCCAACTCAAGGAAAGTCTTCTCCTTGACATGTTTCAATTTTCCAATAGTGGCATGAAATTTAATTCTACATGACCTGGACTGAGTCATCTCAACATCAAGACCCATGCACTAACTACTTGGACCCCTGGCTAAGAAACCATCACTTTATATAAGATGTCACTCTGTACTGACTCTTTATATAAGATGTCACTTTATATAAGATGTCACTCTGTACTCACTCTTGCTCTCACCAGTCTCAACAACCATGCTGCCCACTTCCATTGCAGTGTGTCAGGTTGTTAGACCTTGTGTACTGTGATGTTTGCTGTTCTTAAGGAGTTTGTTCTACTCTTTGCTAATTCTTGGTTAATCATCAAGTCCTGTTCAACCACCTCATCTCCAGAAAAGCCTAATCTGATCAGAGCCCCATAAACTGAAGCTTCCCTTTCCTCCATCTCAGAGGGATATACCAATGTTTTCCCCAATTTCAGTCTAAACCTGAGCCTAGTTCCTGATGCTTTCATCTATGTGAGACAATGACAATTTTGAGATTACACTGAGGACAGTGACTAAACTATGAAGGAAGCCAAAAGCAACTACGGTATTCATATCTTTCTTTTTAAAAAAAAAAATCTGAAACTAACGTGTGGAAGAGAAATCTGACTGCTTGATTAGCTATCCAACAGAGAGGAAGGGAGGAGAGAGGAAAGAAGAGCACAGAAGAGAAGAGTGAGTGGAGGGGAGAGGAAGGGAGAGGTGGGGAAGGGGGGAAGGGAAAGAAAGGGAAAGGGGAGGGCTGGAAAGGGAATGGAGGTGAGGGAAGAGAAAAATGTAGGGAATGGGGAAAGGGAGGTAAAGAGAATAGAGGGGAGAAAAAAGGATGAGAGAAGGGAGTGAAGGATCTAGTGAAAGCTTGACTCATCAGTAAAGAGAACTTTTAGATAAATACTTCAAGGGAAGTCAGGCTCCAATCAGTGGCTTGGATCTGAGAAAGCTGAGATCCTCTTCATCCTGAACTTTCATAGCTATACGCTTGAATAGTCCGGGGACAGATCATCGGAGGAGAGGTGCCAGCACCGTTCATAAGACACTACGCATCGTGCAGGTCCCAGGATGTCTATTTTATTTCTGCTGGATATAATCTTTCTGATCTGCACAAGTAAGGGTAAGTCTTGACTGGAAACAGTAGGGTAGCTGATTATTGGTTCAAATGAACAGACGCTAGCGGGGGGGGGGGGGGGATGTTCAGAATTCGCTTGAGGCTTTTATCAAATTAAAGTGTAATTATGACAAAGAGGACTTTTCTTCTCTTGACAGGTTCATTTCTTTTACATCTAAAAGGTATGACCATGGCATTCTTCAGTTGACACAGTTTGTCCAAGTATAAATCTCCCCTTTAGAGAGGACAGTAATCCATTACTGCCATGAAATTCCGTGAGTTTTCCGTCCTTCCAGTCCAAGTCCATTTATTTTCTGAAGTATGGCAACAAAAAAAAATCCCTCTTGTTTGCTCTCTTGTCCTTGCTGCTGGGCAAAGTCATCCATAAGGGGATAATTACTTGAGGCCCTGCGATAAATTTTATAGGAATCCTGATCATTTGAAGTTGTATACAACCTTTGACTTATGTCTGTACAATTTAGTTTTCCTAATTTTATCAGAGAAGCTGATGGCTCGGGAAAGGTTAGGAACCACCAAGACAGTAGCTAACCCAGTCAGGAAGCCCCCAGCCCAAACCTTCTCCAGAATGCATCCTCGAAATGCCTTTTTCTGTTTCTACCAGAAAATACACCCGTAATGTGTTTTGAATGTGACATCTACCATCTTGGCTTATGCTATAGCGGCATGAAGTTCTGCAAGCTGAAGTACAAGCAGTTTTGTGCCGTTGAGAACGTTTACATGCTTACTAATAAAGGTAGCGTGGGAGTACAGACTGAGTGGGAAGCAGTCACCCCCTTCCCTTGGGCAGGTGGGATGGATGAGGATGGGATGGCATGTTGATTAGATGACAAAGATGGTCTTTTCCTCCAGACAATATTGGATGAAGGAAAGGTCAATGTCCCTTTATGGCCAGAGAATAAACTCCATTCTCAGGGTTGGTAATTAACTCTTGTAATTCATTTGGACCTAACAAACCCGTTAGTGGGGATATGAAGAGAAGCTCTTAGTAGGATTAGGGTGAAGAATAGAGAAATCACAATGGGATTGCCTCTCTTTTGCTCCTTAGGTCAGAGTATGTATCATTTTTCAAAATTGTCATGCATGACACACTGTGAGAGCATCAACTTTTTGAATTTTGACCAGAGGACAGAGCTCAACTGTTGCAATCATGAAAGCTACTGCAACCTTCCTGATGGAGTCTAACTCACCATCTTTCTTGGATTTGGGCTCATTCTCCAACTCTTCCCCAAACCTGCATCCACCCTCCTCTTCTAACCCACAGTAATAGTGAGCAAACATACTTCTCATATAAAGAGCAGCAATCACAAGGAGAAAAAAAATAGAGGGTAGCTGAGTGTCATTAATGAGAAAATCAGCTTTTTTGGGAAATTATGGAATTCCCTTTGCTCACATCTAGTAGGAGGTTGACTTCCTTATGTTGGGGTTGCCATGAATAAGGTGGGGCCTAGAACCGGTTCTTTGTCACCTTTTCTGTGGAAATGCAAAGACATGGGCCAAAATAATTCTAAACTAATATGAGAATTCTATATACATCTCACATATATATCCACTTATCTGGTTTGGGAGTTTCTCTGGATTAGCTCGATACCTCCTCACACTCTCATTTTCCCTGGATTATGAAGATAGAAGAGCACTAATCCCAGATTTCTAATTTGCTGGTAATATGAACTCCATCTTACTCTAGGAGAGCTCCTTGGAGAATCTCAGGCCTGAAAAAAAAATTTAAAAACAGTGGAGTGGGTAGGATAGGCATTGGAATGAAAAAAGGTAGTGCGTGGGGGAATTAAGAGCATTCCAGTTTGCAAAAACTAAGATTGGATGAGACAGTTTGACAGTCCACGAAATTCGATTATATTATTACAGCAGGATCTGATTGATCTAAGTAACTGTGTTGAGAATGAAGAGCTACAGGGGCATTGGTTTCTTTTCCTAAGTGAAAAGGGCAGGTGTTAACAAGAAAGTGAATAGAATGGTAGCTGACGGCCATAGAATGTATAGACATGCTAGGTGGTGGTGTTCTCCTCCTCAAGTGTCCTAGATGAGATGCACTTATAAGTAACCAGAAAGCGGAAAGGTGAGCATGATGGGGAGAGAAGCAGGGAGTTACAGTGAAACAAGTAGGCAGAGGAACCAAGCATCACTGATGGAATAGCATCCCTTGTGACCCGGGCAAATCCACCCAGGTCATTTTCCCTCTTGTGAAGCTCACTGTAGTTCCTGGAGTACCACAAGCCTACAAACCTTTCCCTTGTGTACTATACCTGATGAAATCCTTAAAATAAACTAATCACCTCTCTGCTTGAGTACTTGGTATCTTCTTTATCTACTCATGTGTTTGAAAACAGAATCCATTTGAGGAATTCACAATTAGGGCTTCATGGAGACAGGATGGAAGGAGGACAGAAAGACAACACACTCCTTTGGCCAGTTTTTATATTCCCACTGTCCGAGCCATTCAGAATTTGCTCATAGGCCTGAAATAGCAACTTTCCTTTCCCCATCTTTAAGTCACTTCAAACCACAAGAATTATTTTGTCCTCACTCTCCTAAAAAAAATCTTTATGCTTTAGTTCCAGTCTCTGTGTCTATCTTGCTCACACTATTCACACTATTTTAGGGGAAGGGCTGTAGAGATAGCAAAAGACTGACCAGGGTTCTATCCCTGGCATCCCACATGGTCCTCAAGCACTGTCATGAGTAATTCCTGAGCACAGAACCAGGAGTAACCTCTGAACATCATTGGGTATGGGTGTAGCCCCCAAAACAAACCAAAAAAGGGATCATCTCAAATCATATTTGGGGGTCTCAGTTCAGTTAGATGCCATGAGCAGATTTGGCAGCCAACTACCAGGATGAACCAAACAGTCCTTAATTCTTTAGCCAACGATTTGGGGAGTATCTAGAGCTCTTCTCTGCCTCACCTAGGGCTTTATAATAATTATGACTGTGGACCAGTTACTTTTAAGCCCTTCCCAATTTCTGAGACCTAGGTCTTTAATATATTACCCAACTTTAAAATGTGGGTGATCAAAAGGAGAGAGAGAGAGAGAGAGAGAGAGAGAGAGAGAGAGAGAGAGCAAAAGGGAATGCCCTGTCACAGAGGTGGGGTGGGGGGAATGGGGGTGGGTGGGAAGGATACTGGGATCATTGGTGGTGGAGAATGGGCACTGGTGGAGGGATGGGTACTCGGTCATTGTATCACTGAAACGTAAGCACAAAAGTTTGTAAGTCTGTAACTGTACCTCACAGTGATTCATTAAAAAAAAACTATAATAATATAGATGAACCTAAAAGGTAAAATAAGTTATTTTTGCATTTAGTTAAATGAGTTCCTGAAAAATGTCGAATAAATATATACACAGTTGCTGGTATTTCTGCAAAAATAATAAATAAATAAATAAATAAATAAATAAATAAAATTTGGGTGAGGTCTTTTCTAGTATAGGTTTCTTTCCCTATAGATATAAAGATGTGAAGAAAGTTTCAGGAAATCAGATTTAAAACCTTGCAAAAGGGGCCAGAGAGATAGTATAGTGAATAAGGTTCTTCTTCGCACTCAGCTGACCTGGGTTCTATCCCCAGCATATAATCCTCCAAGCATTGCTAGGAGTGATTCCTGAGTGCAGACCCAGGAGTAACCCCTGAGCATCGCCTGATATGACCCAAAAAACCACCTCCACCCCTAAAATAAACCTTACAAAACTCCAGATACTGGAATTAACACTGACAGAACTTAAAACAGATATTTTAAATATATTTAAGAATGTAAAGGAAAAGACAGACATACATGGACAAGGAATCTCAAAATTAAGAGAGAAAACAAAATATAGATCAAATGTTTTCTGCAGCAGTGCCATGATGGATAACTGACAATTTTGTTCTTTTTTAATAATTAAAATTATTCCAGTAGTTTAAAAACTAAAGGACAAAAATAATTGAAATAGCCTACTACTCAGTTAATCATAGATGTCAGTGTTGAAAAGTGCTTTATAATATCTCTCCAATTATGGTATTTCTGACAATTTTCCAGGCAGGGTGAAAACCAGTTAATAAAATCATGACTCCTATCTCAAGCACGAGGTGAAAGAACAGTTACTAAAACTGTAGCACTGTCCTCCTGTTGTTCATCGATTTGCTCGAGCGGGTACCAGTATCATCTCCGTTATGGGTCTTGTTACTGTTTTTGGCATATCAAATATGCCACGGTAGCTTGCCAGGCTCTGCCATAGGGGTGGGATACTCTCGGTAGCTTGCCGGGCTCTCCAAGAGGGGTGGAGGAATCGAACCCAGGTTAGGCATGTGTAAGGCGAATGCCCTACCCGCTGTGCTATCGCTCCAGTCCAGTCACTAAAACAAAGTCTTAAAATTTTTTAACAAAAATTTTCAAGTCCATGTATCATTCTATACGTGTGTGTAAAATAACTCACAACCAATTCCGTTTCATTCGTATTGTTCTTTGATGCAGGTGATAATTATATCACATACTTTGATCATTTTCTATGTGCCAAACAATAGCACCATCTTCCTAGTGCTTCTAAAATGTGAATTGAGGGAATGTTATCATTTCTGTTATCCATACGAAGAAATGGGTTTTATAGGGGCTGGAGCGATAGCACAGCAGGTAGGGCGTTTGCCTTGCATGCAGCCAACATGGCCGACACAGGTTCGATTCCCAGCATCCCATATGGTCCCCTGAGCACCGCCAGGAGTGATTCCTGAGTGCATGAGCCAGGAGTAACCCCTGAGCATCGCTGGGTGTGACCCAAAAAGCAAAAAATGGGTTTTATAAAGATTGAAGTTTTCTAAAGTCAAAAGAAGTTTGCAGTGACACTATAGGCTTTATTCAACATATTTCTAATACTAGAGCCCCTGTCTTAACCACTGTATGCTATTTCCCACTGTGGCACTGTAGCACTGTCCTCCCGTTGTTCATGGATTTGCTTGAGCGGGCACAAGTAATATCTCCATTGTGAGACTTGTTACTGTTTTTGGCATATCAAATACATCACAGGTAGCTTGCCATGCTTTGCCATGTGGGCGGGATACTCTTGGTAGCTTGCCGGGCTCTCCGAGAGGGGTGGAGGAATCGAAGCCGGGTCTGCCATGTGAAACACCCTACCCGCTGTGCTATCCTACTAACCTAGAAAATTAGACACTTTCTTAAACTGGTTTTTAAGCAAGCATGAATATAGTTGTCTTAGGAGAGGACCACTATAGGGCCTTGTGAACAGTTATCTGTTCAATGTATTGTTGTGAAAGCAAAATCATCAATTCTTATCACCACTATTAATGTGTGTCTGGAATTTCACCCCATCACGGCCTGGGTTTTCACAGGTACATGGATCCCTCCACATCCCAAGATGTGCACTTTAGGTTTGCTGACAGGTCAGGCCTGACCAAATCTGAGTCTTGAATGAGACTCTTGTCCAGGAAATCCTCAGGAGAAGGGGCTCCTGGAGAAACCTGCTGGAGATGTTCTTCTGCAGGAGTTATTTATTCCATAATTGATGATATTTTCAACAATGTTGAAAGATTCACAACGATCAGGCAAGCGCTAGGAGTAGAATGAATGACAGCGGTGACTGGGAATCTGTATAAGATTTCAAATTTCTTTCTTTCCTCCTCTCACCTGTCAGCATCCTTGGCCCACAAAGAGGACATTGATCAAGATCTCCTGGGGGGCCCTTTCTTCCTGGGACCATTACTTCCTGGGGCAGTTTTAATTCAGTCTTGATCCTGCATGGGCAATGGAGCCTCTCTGTCCAGCTGGGAGGCTTCATGCATTTGGTGGGCAGGTTCCTCCAAGCTTACCTAAGGCAGCAGTGAAGAAGGGCTGTGCAGGAGTCTGGTTGGGGCTGTAGGTGGGGAGCAGGGGTGGGGGTGAAGGATTTCTGGGCTGAGACCCAGGCAAGCAGGGTAATGTTCCAAGGCTGATCCAGACTGTCAGAAGGAGCCAGGGTGTGAGGTGGGTCTGCAGGTCAGACCCCATTCCCCTGCGTCCTGGGAGCAAGGCAGTTAGATGTGGTGAGGAAGACATCTGCGTGGACTCCAGCCATCCCCCCTTCGGGGGCCTCTCCCAGAGCCCTGAAATGAAGGAAGCAAGTCCTGATCTGTCTCTGATCTCTCTCTGTCTCTCTCTGTGTCTCTCTCTCCTGGGACCCAGAGCATCCCCTGGTCAGATCTAAAGCTGAGCAGGCCAGGGGGTGGGCTTGCTTGAAGATGACAGTAGTTCAAGAGGGTACTGCTGAATGGAGGTGACTTTCTTGTGTTTTGTTCTTTATTCCTTGTTTCCTGCATCTCCTGCTCTCCATGTGCCCCTGAGTGGCACTGCACACCAGCTTGAGATGACCACAGGTGCTTCATTGAGCTCAGTCCAATTCCCTTTCCTCCTTCTATGCAGAGTGGGGATGGGAACAGGTTGTGCCTCTGGGCAGGATGGTGCAGCGCAGGGCAGGACAGCATGTCCTCCCACCCCTAGCCCCAAGCTCTACCCGTCCAGGAGAAAGCACCAAAGACAGGAAAGGTGAGGAGACAGGGGTGGGAGGGAGAAAGTGTAGGCTCTCCTCCGCAGAAGTCAGGGAGGGCAGGAACTGAGTTGTGGGCACTCGAATGGAAAGGGAAGAACAGGTTGACCAGTAGTACATCTGCTGTATGTGTGGGAGGGAGAGGTGGCCCTCAGGGTCACAATCGTGTGTGTGTGTGAGTGTGTCTCACACTAAGCTCTTGGTGGAGATGTATTAAAAGTCAAAGCAGGCAACCAAGCCTTCTGGCTTAGTCTGGAACGTAGGTTCAGATATTAGCATTAAACAAGGTTAGCCCAGCGCCCAGCTCCCCAATCTTTCAGCCCAATCTTTTATTTTATTTTGCCTTTTTAAAAAATTTATTTATTTATTTTTATTAGTGAAACACCATGAGGTACAGTTATAGACTTAGAAATTTTTGTGCTTGGGTTTCAGTTATACAATGATCAAGTACCCATCCCTCCACCAGCGCCCATCCTCCACCACCACGGGTCCCAGTATCCCTCCCACACCCATTCCCCCATCCCCCCTGCCTCTGTGGCAGGGCATTCCCCTCTGTTCTCTCTCTCCTTTTGGGTGTTGTGACTTGCAAAAGAGGCATTGAGTGGCAATCATGTTTCGGTCTATAGTCTACTTTAAGCATGGATCTCCCATCCTGGGAGGATCCTCCCAATACCCTTTATTTGGTGCTCCCTTCTCTATCTGAGCTGCCTTTTCCCCTAGCACGTGTTCAGCCCAATCTTTTAGATGGATAGTGAGGCACCAGGATATTGATCAGGATCTCCTGGGGCCCTTGGATAAGAATAAGGGTTCATATTCCACAGTGAAAAATCAGAATGTCATCAATGGAAGCTAAAACTTAATTAAATTATTGAGTAAAAAGTTTATATTGTAGGGGCTGGAGTGATAGCACAGCGGGTAGGGCGTTTGCCTTGCATGCAGCCGACCCGGGTTCGATTCCCAGCATCCCATATGGTCTCCCGAGCACCGCCAGGAGTAATTCCTGAGTGCATGAGCCAGGAATAACCCCTGTGCATCGCCGGGTGTGACCCAAAAAGAAAAAAAAAGTTTATATTGTATAAATATGAGAGTAAACAAGCCTATATGCTCAATTTTGACATCATTAAAACAAGGGCAGAGGGCCAGAGTGATAGTACAGTGGGTAGGGCATTTACCTTGTACACAACCAACTCAGGTTTGATCCCAGCATCTCCCATATGGTCCCCCTAGCACAGACTGGAGTAATTCCTGAGTGAAGAACCAGAAATAACACCCAAGCATCACCAGGAGTGACCCAAAAAGCCCTCCCCAAAAATACCCCCCCAATTAAAAAAACCTAGAGCAACATATGCCTTCATGATTGGAAGTAGATGCTGTCAAAAAGATTGAGTCATTTTACCCTCCAAATCTGTTTTAAAAGTTCTTAATACAATAAACATGTTTATAAGGTAAAAGGTAAAGGTAAAGGCCCTCCCATTGATCGTCGATTTGCTCGAGCGGGCCCAGTAACGTCTCCATTGGAGACTTTGTTGTTACTGTGTTTGGCATATCGAATACTCTCGGTAGCTTGCCGGGCTCTCCGAGGGGCAGAGGAATCGAACTCTGGTCGGCCATGTTGGCCGCTTGTAAGGCGAACACCCTACCGCTGTGCTATCACTCCATGTTTATAAGTCTTTTAAAATAAGATTGAACATTTTTGAAGTATCATGTCAGTAATCATAACTGGTTTAGTTGTTTGAATACCGGAGAGCCCCTAAAAGAAAGAAATTCTCTCTGCACAATTCTTTTTGTTGTTGTTGGTTTTTGGTGGGGGTGGTTATTGCATCATACCTGGTGGTGTTCAGGGCTGGCTCCTGGCTCTGCACCAGGCATCACTCCTGATGGTGCACAGCAGACCATATGGGATCCTTAATATCAAATCTGAGTTAACCACATGCAAAGCAAATGCTTTATCCGCTGTACTATCGCTCTGGTCTCTTTGTACAACTCTTGGCACATAGTATGCCATATTGACACTGGAGTGAGCATTCATTGCCAGTCAAAGACAAAAGATAAGAATAAGACGTGATACAGTTCTTGTGATTTATAACATGATGGACAAATTGGACAGAGAAACGAGTCATTGTTAGTGTTTGAAATATATTACCCATAAAGTGGCAGGTAATCACAAGAGGGAAATTTATAAAATAATAACGTGGGGGCGCATATGCTGCCCGAGTCCACGTGCCGTTTGCGCCCACGTGGCCGAGCACATGTGGTACCCAAGCACATATGTCGCCCGCATCTCCCCTCTTGAGATGTGTACTTTCATGCTTTCGTGTCTAATGTTAGGATGTGTGTAGGCTCTCTCTCCGCCCTTGGAGAAGCCCATGTTCTCTCTTGAGTACGTTAATCTCTCACTCTCTCCCCCTCCACCTCTTAAAAACCCTCCAAATAAAATCTATTCATTTCAAAATAATAATAATAATAACGTGGGTTTCTGGGGAAATGATGATGGAGGCAGAGAGCAAAGGACAGGAGTCAAAGATTAGGAGAAGAGGCGAAGTGTGATGTATAATACAGTCCATCTTGGAAAGGCCTTGAAGGAGACATGCGTGAGCTTACATATCTTCTACCATTGAGTCAGGGCTTTGGTCCCCACATTCATGCTCTTGATGTCATAATTCACCCCTATCTGCATTTTGCATCCATTGGTGCAATGTTTTTTATTTGTTTATAAAATTTTTTGGTGTGGGGGTCACACTTGGAGGTGCTCAGGGCTTACTTCTGGGTCTGTGCTCACACATCACTCCTTGCAAGATTTGAGGAACAATATGGGGTGCTAAGGATCAAACCCAGGTCAGGTATAAAGCACGCCCGACCCTCTCCAGCCCTATTGGTGTATTTTGCTTATAGTTGTTTTAATATTTTTGTCACACTCATGGCAAAATGAAAACAATTTTATTTGATTTATCAGAGGAAAAAAAAGCCAAGAAAATCATGACTGGTCTGAAGTACATTAGTCCACAGAGGAAAATCACAAGGGTCCACCTTCCATTGGGCTATTTCTGAATGCTTTTCATAACAATGAACGAAGGTTTTAGGTAAAATCATATGTTTTAAGTTGGGGGCCGGGGAGATTCAGAGATAGAATGCTTCACACTTACGAAAGTGGGAAGCCAGTGAGGCCAAGAGTTCGATCCCCATGCCGGAGTGCATCCCAGGCCCTGCTCTGTTTGGGCACAGCACAATCAGGCAGGTGTGAGCACTGCAGTCCAGACCCAGGTGTGCAAGGACAGCTGCAAATGTGCCCTACTCCCAGACATCACAGAAACAGAAACAAGAAATGGGAAAGAAGGGGGGGAAATTTTTTAAATGAACTTTGAACGGTCAGTTTTCAGTTGACTGACTTCTAGTTCACGTCGACTATTGGAATTCATTATAAGGTCCCACAACCGTCTTGTGTGTACTAGATTGAGTCGTACTCAAAGTTGTGAACTGACACACTGGGGATAAGGCTTTTGGAGTAGGGAAATACCAGTCCCTAGAATGGAAGAAATCAGTGTTTCCGGGAGTTCTGGCTAAGGCAGAAATCAAACCGGAGGGACAAGCAAAAAATGACACTGCGTTAAAGAGAAAGCAAGGTAAGCCCAAGGAGGATGGAAAGGGAAGGCTAGCAAGGGCCAGCGGCATGTAAGGGAGTAACACGCCAGTGCCAGATCTCAGGAGGGCAGTTACTTAGACTGGGTAGTTACAGTAATCTTTTTCGCAGCATTTATGATCATAGGTCCTGTTCTTGAAGTTATAGGTCAAGTCTTTGCAGAATTTCTGACATACCATATAGCTTAACATCAGGGTGTTGCCTGTAATAAGAAGGAATCATAGAAAATAAGCCAGCTGGTATTCATTGATTTATTTACTTGTTTGTTTGTGGTGCTGGGGGTGTTGAACCCAGAGTCAGCCTCACACATGCAAGCTAAGTGCTCTACCACTGCGTTACTGGCCCATGAAAATAAGCCAGCTGGAGTCAGAGTGTTGGTTCTGCAGGCAGGGCATTTCTGTTGCATGTGGGAAATTGGGGTTTGATCCCTGACACCTGAGCCCCACCAGGAGTGATCCCTAAGAGCAGAGCAGAGTAAGCCCTGAGCACTACCAGGGCCACCCTCAAAAAAATAGCAAAAAGAAGTCAGTGACCTAAGTTGTCTCAAGAAAAGTTAATCCTTGGGGCTGGAGCGATAGCACAGTGGGTAGGGCGTTTGCTTTGCACGCGACCAACCCAGGTGCAATTCCCAGCATCCCATATGGTCCCCTGAGCACCGCCAGGAGTAATTCCTGAGTCCATGAGCCAGGAGTAACCCCTGTGCATCACCAGGTATGACCCAAAAAGCAAAATAAATAAATAAATAAATAAATAAAAAGAAAAGAAAAGTCAATCCTGGCCCCAGTTCTGTCCCTGAAAATGTAATTGAAAGTCAGGGTGGATCTTCCTTGGTTCCACAAGGACCCAGGCCAGGTGAAGTGGCTGCCACCATCTCCTTAAGGTTTCCTTCCTCTTTGTAGGCTCAGAGATTAGCACCTCCTGCTATACTGTCTCTAAAGATCACATCATTTGGTTCATTTTCTTGAGAACATAGTTGTGGCCCCTTCACCATTGGGAGGGGGGGTGGATATGATTCCAAACCCCCAGTAAGCTGCCTAAACTCACAAACTGCACCAAATCTGATTTGTGCTGTGAGTAGTTACACATACAGAACTCTGATCAGGTTTAATTCATACCAAGTTTAAAGACAGACGAGATAAACACCAACACCAAGTGACAGTCAGAACGAACAGTCACGACCGTGAATTAAAAGTCAGGCAAATGTGGTAATGATTTAGGATTGTGCTAGACCACGGCCACTGAAAGAGCAAAACGCCTTGGCCCAGTGAAAAGGGCACGATGTTACAGAATCTTTTCCTCCTGTCTCTTGTCTCATTTCCCAGATCTCTTCTGTCTGCATGTGCAGAGATCATGCTACAGAACGGGCACTGCACTTGGCACCTTTCCTTAGTCTGACATGTGAAATGGCTCTAGTCTTCTTAGAGTTTTCTGAGCCTCTTCTCATGCCTCCCCCCGCGATGAAACTCACCCTGGGAGATTCTTAAGGTCATACACGTCTCATGCTTCTTAGTAATGCAAACTCCAAAGTCTCTGCGACAGCGGTCTGCTTGGGTCTGAAAGTGGCATGTTATGCATCTGAGCGGGGTCACTGCTGGAGAACACAGAAGCAAGGTGGGTCAGTCTCTGAAGGTCACAGAAGGAGCTGGAATTATCTAGAGCACAGAAGAAATGGAGAGTAGGTGGTGGGGCAATAAAGTGTCAAAGTTCTCGTCATCTGCACGTCATAGAGAAATGCCACTGAGAGATGAGAGGATCCTGCTCCCAACTTCAGCCCTTTGAATCTGAGTCATTTTAAGCAAACATTTGGCATTCATAGTGTTAGTTTTCCATTTGGCATTCATAGTGTTAGTTTTCCTATGTTAGGAATCATAGTACAGATCATAAAGTGCTTGCCTTCACGTCAAAAAGAACAAGAACAACCAGTGTTCCATCGGATGTGGGGAGAAAGGGACTCTCTTTGTTGGTGGGAATGCCAACTGATCCAGCCTTTCTGAAAAACAATACGGGCATTCCTTAAAAAAATGAGAAATTGAGCTTCCATATAACCCCACAACGCCAATTCTTGGAATATATCCTGAGGATGCAAAAAATCACAGTAGAAATGATATCTGCACCTGTATGCTCATTGCAGCACTGTTTACAATTGCCAGAATCTGGAAACAACCTGAGTGCCCGAGAACAGACAACTGGTTAAAACAAAACTTTGGTACATCTACACAATGGAATACTATGCAGCTGTTAGAAAAGATGAAGTCATGAAATTTGCTTATAAGTGGATGGTCATAGAGAGTATCATGCTAAGTGAAATGAGTCAGAAAGAGAGGGGCAAACATAGAGTTACTGCACTCATTTGTGGAATATAAATAACATAATATGAGACTGACACCCAAGGACACTAGACACAAGGCCATGAATATTGCTCCATGGTTGGTAGCCTGCCTCATGAGTGGAGGGGAGAAGGAAGCTGGAATAGAGAAGGGATCACTAAGCCAATGATGGTTGGAGGGATCATTCGGGATGGGAGTTGTGTGCTGAAAGTAGATAAAGGACCAAACGTGATGGCCTCTCAGTATCTATATTGCAAACCATAATGCCCAAAAGTAGAGAGAGATAGAGTATGGGGGAGATTGTCTGCCATAGAGACAGGGGGAGGGGCAGGGTGGGGAGGATACTGGGGACATTAGTGGTAGAAAACATGTACTGGTGGAGGGATGGGTGTTCTATCTTTGTATGACTGAAACTCAAACATGCAAGCTTTGTAACTGCATCTCACAGTGATTCAATTAAACAAAAAAGGTATTTATTTGCCCTAAATGCAGCCAATCCAGGTTTGATCCTCAGCACCCTACCTGGTCCCCCAATTCCTGTGCACAGCGGTATGGCCCAATAAACAAACAACAAAAAAAAAGAATAAATAAATAACTTTAAATAGGTCTGCGAATGCTTGCCTGGCGACTCGGTAGTCCCTCAGGTAGGAGTGTGGCAATAAGGCGCCACTTTCAAATATTGAACCCATGTGAGAATTACAAGGAAGGAACTTCTGAAACTTGCTGCTTTGATCTTATTGCTGATGTGCTCTGTTATTGTGGACTTCGAGGAGAATGTAGGTGACAGTCTCATGAATCGGAGCACAGTGGCCCTGTCCCTGGTTCCGAGGGATGAGCTCATCAAAATATTGGTTTCATTGGAAAACAGACCAACCCTCCCCCTGATGTGAGAAAGAAAAATAACATTTACTGAGCATCTTGTTGGAGACCTGCTCTCTCACTTTGTGTCTGATATAGTTCTACAAAAACCTGTTTTTCAAGTGAATATGAGACAGATACAGAGAATTTAAACAGTGATGATCTATTCTAAAATAGAAAAAATATCTGATTCCAAACCATCCGATATTTCCTCTCCTACAATCACTTATTTTAATGAAGAGTTCCCACAAAGAGAGGGGTATTGTTTATATAGCAATATAAGTGATAACAATATTAATGAAACAACAACAAGCTACAAAATTATTCGTAATAGATGTATCAGCTCTTACAGAAAGTACAGTACAGAGAAGGGAGGGATATGTAGGAGCGAGACAAAAAACAGGGTTTGAGTTAGGGGGCATGAGAGGGGTACAGTTTGGAAGCAGTCATGAGGTCCTGGTGCAAAGTCCACAACGTTGCAAAGCTAGAGCAGAACACTGGAAAGTTGTCAGTGAAGGAATAAAGAGCATTGAATGTTCTTTCTTTTTTCTGTCCTTTATTTTTTTTTTAAATTTTGTTCTGTTTTGTTTTCAGGCTGCACCCAGCAGTCCTCAAGCTTACTCCTGGCTCTACACTCAGGGATCATTCCTAGTGGAGCTCAGGGCACTGTATGTGGTGCCAGGGACTGAAGATTGGCCGCATGAAGGCTAGTGTCTGCCTGCTATTCTGTCATATCTTGTCTCTCTGTCCCTCTATCTGTCCGTTTCTGTCTCTGTCCATCTCTGTCTCTGTCTGTCTCTCTATCTGTCTGTCTCTCTGTGTCTATCTCTCTCTCTCTCTCTCTCTCTCTCTCTCTCTCTCTCTCTCTCTCTCTTTCACCGTGAGGGACCATGCATTGCTGGGGAAGGAACCAGGACTTCTAATATCCTCCAGCCCTTTGAGCCATCTCCCTGACTCAGAGGGAACTTTCTGAGACTGGCCTCCCTTCCCTCTCCCATGGGACTTGCTGGGCTCCAGCATCCTATCTCTGAAGCCCACTTTTCAGGTCAAGACTCACCCACAATGAAGCAAAAGTAGGAGAAGATGAACAAGAGATGTTTGTCCATGGTGACCCAAGGTCTCTGTACAGGAAATGAAGCCTGGAGACTGCAAGCAGAGATCTCTAGGCTTCAGGGAAGAAATCTCTTTCTTCATCCTACGTATCATGCCTAAGTGGAGCTAATCACACAGAGTTTCTTCTGGGACTTCAAGATCATTATCTCCACCCACAGCAGCACAGAATAGTAATTAACAAATGATGAGGTTTGTGTTCAATTAGTTTCATGCGGGTAGGGCGTTCGCCTTGCACGCCGCCGACATGGCCAACCCGAGTTCGATTCCTCTGACCCTCTCAGAGATCCCAGCAAGCTACCGAGAGTATCTCGCCCGCACGGCAAAGCCTGGCAAGCTCCCCCTGACGTATTCCATATGCCAAACACAGTAACAAGTCTCACAATGTTACTGGGCCCACTCAAGCAAATCAATGAACAACGAGAGGACAGTGACAGTGACCGTGATAATCTTCTTTAAAGTTATTATTATTAGTACAGTTATGATACTGTTACTCAACTTCACAGAGAAGGAAATTGGGATTTGGTGATGTTCAGTATCTCCCCAAGATCACATGTCTAGTGACAAATAACACCAGTAGTCCCAGCAAGGCTTTCTAATTCTAGAAATTCTTCTTTTCTGTACCAGGGATCAAACCCAGGGCGCTTCACACATGCAAAGCAAGTGCCAAGCCACCCCCTTGTCACAGGGACCCCCTTGTCACACCCATCTTGGAATGAGCTTGTCAACTTCTTTGTTTGTTTGTTTGTTTGTGGGCCAGGCTGTGATGCTCAGGCATTACTCCTGGCTCTGCATGAAGGAATTTCTCCTGGCATCATATCTCCAGGTATCATATGGGATGCCAGGAATAAAACTCAGGTCAGCTGCATGCAAGGCAAGCACTCTGTACTATGCTTCTGGCCTGAGCTTGTCAACTTTACTGCTTGAAAGAGGAACGTGTATACTCACTTTGAGACATATCTAACATTCTGGGAATATAATAACATTTATTCTTCCACCCCTCTCAGAGAGCCTGGCATGGCAAAGCCTGACAAGCTACCTGTGACGTATTCGATATGCCAAATACAGTAACAGATCTCACAATGTTACTGGACCCGCTTGAGCAAATCGATGAACAATAGGAGGACAGTGACAATAACATTTATGTGACAAATGAAGAAACAAGAGAATATGGTTCTTTTTCTAAAGAAAAACTGTTGAATAGAAGCAGACCTGTTGCTGATCAAGATAACGGAATTATTAGGTGAAGACCTTATTTAAGTATTATAAATTTTCAAAATAAATCATAGAAAAAAGGCAATAGAAATTTTTACTTTCCTTTTTAATGATTTTTTTTCTATGTGGGAAAGCACAATAGAAATTTCTTACACTGATATTGCATCCTGTAATTTTGCCAATCCTATATTTGTCTTTCATAGTTTTTTACATTTTCAAATAGAAAATTGTGTGATTTGCTTTTTCCTTTCCAAACCCTGCTTTTTATATTTCATTTTTGCCTTGTTACACTAAGATCTCTAGAGTAATGCTAGTTAAAAGGGGTAGACATCTTTGTCATTCTCCTGATCTAGGGGGATGAGCTGTCAATTCTTCATTAGTAATTTGGATATTTATATTTATTTGCTGTAGATTTTTATAGTTTTGTGCTTAATATAATTAAGATTTCCTTCTATTTGCCAGTTTGCTGAACATTTTTGTCAAATATTTTTTTTCCTTCTACATCTACAGAAGATTTTTCTTCCTTAAACTATATTGGTGAAATTTTGAATATTGAACTACTTGGAGCCCCTCAGGATAAACTCTGTTGTGTTTATTGTCCTTGTAATGGACAATCCTTTAATGCAATGCTAGAAAACTTGAGGGTTTTTCCTTACACATGCAGCAGGCAGAACTCTGGGTTTGCTCTCTGGAATGTGGCTTTTGTTTGTTTTCTTTTGGAGACTCACCCAGCAGTGCTCCGAGTTTATTCCTTTCCCTTTGCTCAGGGGTCACTCCTGGTGTGCCTAAAAGGACTATGTTTGTTTCAGGGACTGAACCAAGATCAACTGCATTCCAGGCAAAACCTTACCTACTGTCCTATCTCTGTGACCCTACAATGTGACTCAGAGATTAGACCTTTGTGATATCTAGATTTCTTCATTGCACAAGTCATGACTCCGGCAGCACCGGATATTAACCAGAAAGACATTCCATTTGACGTTGTTCACATTAGCACAGTTCTTTTCACAGCCCATGAAGGTCATCCAGGGAGTCCCATCATCTGCAGAAGGGAGGAGAAGCACATCAGCAAAGAGGCTTCTGCCAGAAGAAGACTTCTCGCTGTCCCACACTAGCCTAGAAAAACAACCTTGTGTGATTCAAAGCTCTGGTTTTCAAACGTGAAGTTCGGGAAGATGTTCTAAACTAGGGGTGTTCCTCTAAAGAAATGGTGGCATGATTTTTTTTTTAAAAAGAAGAATTATAGGGGGAGGAAATGCAGTTGAAATTTCAGGATGGTGAGCATTTCACGGGGCTGGAGCGATAGCACAGCGGGTTGGGCGTTTTCCTTGCACACGGCGACCCGGGTTCGATTCCCAGCATCCCATATGGTTCCCCTGAGCACCACCAGGAGTAATTCCTGAGTGAAGAGCCAGGAGTAACTTCTGTGCATTTCCGGGTGTGACCCAAAAGGCAAAAAAAAAAAAAGCATTTTATTTCCACTGGGGCTGGAGCAATAGCACAGCGGTAGGGTGTTTGCCTTACAAGCGACCAACATGGCCCACCCGAGTTCGATTCCTCCGCCCCTCTCGGAGAGCCCGGCAAGCTACCGAGAGTATCTCGCCCGCACGGCAGAGCCTGGCAAGCTCCCCGTGATGTATTCGATATGCCAGACACAGTAACAACAAAGTCTCACAATGGAGACGTTACTGGGTCCGCTTGAGCAAATCGATGAACAACGAGAGGACCGTGATGTGATGTGATGTTATTTCCACTGAAGATCTTAATACTGGTTGGAGTAGGGGTAATGCATGCCAAGTGGAGAGGGGAATTAGGGAAATCATGTCAGAATGTTACCACCCAGGGCCGGTAGCCATATCTGTTGAAAACATTGGCCCTTCTGTTTTCACTGGCTATTTCTTTGTATTTGATTTGGGGGACATACCCAGCAGTGCTTAGGGCTCACCCCTGGCTCTGTACACAGGGATCACTCCTGATCTATCACTTACTACTAAGTACCACCACTAAGAGGTAGTACTTACTTGCGATACTACCTCTTGGACCCCCTGTCTCCATTACATTTTTGTTTGTTTTGTTTTGGGGCCACACGCTGTGATGCTCAGGGATTACACCTGACTCTGCACTCAGGAATCCCTCCTGGACCACATGGGATGCTGGGGATGAAAACTGGGTAAACTGAGTGCAAGGCAAGTGCCCTGCCCACTGTGCTATCTTTCCAGCTCCCGTTTCCACAATTTAAAGCCATTCCCAGAGAAGTCCAGGTAGTATCATGGAAAAGGAGTTGTCCCCTACCTCCACTCCCACCACCAATCAACTGTTCAACCCTGGTTGTGTTGCACTTTAATTCAATCTCCTGTTTGTCCAGGCTTCTCAGATACTGGTTCCATGGCAATCTGCCCTCATCTCTTAGTGACCACCTCGTCTTCATTTGCTTTGGGGCCATATCTGAGGATGCTTAGGGCTTACACTGTGTTCAGGGATCACTCTTGGTGGGCTCAGGATTCTTTTTTTTCTTTTTCTTTTTCTTTTTTTTTCTTTTTGGGTCACACCTGGCGATGCACAGGGGTTACTCCTGGCTCTGCACTCAGGAATTATCCCTGGCGGTGCTCAGGGGACCATATGGGATGTTGGAAATCGAACCCAGGTTGGCCACGTGCAAGGCAAACGCCCCACCCACTGTGCTATTGCTCCAACCCCGGGCTCGGGATTCTTGAGAGCCAGGAATTAAACCACAGTCAGCCATGTGTAATACAGTCGCCTCACCCACTGTATCACCTCTCCAGCCTCATATCTTTTTTTTTTTAATTGTTGGGACCACACCTGGTAGTGTTCCGGGACCACAAGCCACCGTCAGCAGTGCTCAGGGGACCATGCCACACTAAGGATAGAACCCAGGGTCTCCCACTTACAAGACTTGTACTCCACCACTGGGGCCCATCGTGGCCCCTTCCACTGTATTTTTTTTAGGGCCAACACCCAGGCTCCAGCGTGATCCCTGTGTCCCCTCTTCCCCACTCTCTCTTCCGCTTACTCTTGAAAACCTTTCCGATGATGCAGGACTCTTCTTTGTCCCCTGTGCATATTCCTAGGCCTCGGGAGCACTTCTCTCCGGGAAACTGGATGTGACACATGCGGCACTGGATGATTTCTGCGAGAGACTCGTTAGGGGGGCAGCTCGCCCCCTGCCCTGATGGTTGGTCTGTGCCCCAGGCTACGGGAGAGAGCCCTGGCCAGAGAGATCAGCTCTCTCTCTCTCTCTCTCTCTCTCTCTCTCTCTCTCTCTCTCTCTCTCTCTCTCTCTGTCCTGACTCTGTCTCCCTCTGCAGGTTAAGTCCAGGGAGGGGCTGGAGTGGAGTCTGGGGGCTTAGGGCTGGGAGTGGGAAATGGGAGTGGAAAGAAATGGCCCCATGAGACAAGTGGCCAAGACCAAATGGCCAAGACAACAAAGCCAGATGGAGCGGGTCCTCCTCATACTCACCCACATACTCATACTCCTCAAAATGTAGGTGATTTTCCTCATCTGTGCTGGCAAAAAAAAAAAATCCGTAGTTTTCTTTGTATTGTGTTTTGGGTTCTACTGGCCATACTAGGGGCCAACTCTGGGCCATACTCAAGGGCCCCATCAGTGCCAGGGCTCAAGCCCAGGCCTCGACGTGCCAAGCACGCTCTCTAGTCCTGTGACCCATATCCCCGGCCCCTGCCTGAGAGTTAGCCCTGCCCAGAGCTGCCCACTGCCAATCCTCGCCAATTATCCCTCAGGTGCTCTGTATAGGGCCACCCCAGGCCCTTCCTGCCTCCTCCTCACCCTTGTTAGCTCTCTCGGCCCCCTTTTCTCTTCCGACAAACCTCTTCACCTACTCAGGGTCTCCCAGACTCCCTTTCCCATCCCCAGAGGATGCAGTATAATCAGGAGGAGAAAAGAAAAATGGTCACCTTCTTCCTCAGGGCCTTATGTAACTTCCTTAGCTGTATGTGAGCGTTTGAGTGTGTATGTGTGTGTGTGTCTGTGTGTATGTCTGTGTGTGTAAGTGCGTGCATGCGTGTAAGTGCATTGTGTGTGTATGTGTCAGTCAATGTGTGTGTATGTGTCAGTGCATGTGTGTGTGTGTAAGAGAGACAGAGACAGAGATAGAGACAGAGAGACAGAGAGAGCCGACAACAGGGAGAAGCATCTGAAATTCATTGAGCTGTTGCATTTGGGACGGTCAGAGCCAGGACAGCCCCCCCCCAGCTCCTTTCTCTTTTTCTTACGCTCACCCCAGCCTTGCCAGCAGCTGTGGTGCTCATCAACCGTAAACTCCCCCTTCCCCCGTGTGACCCCATCTTGCCTGATGGGCTGCCTTTCAAGACCCACCTCTGGGTCCCTCTGGGTCCCTCTAGGTCATCGGCATCTACCACCCCCACTTCTCCCTCCTCTCCCCTTCCCCTGCTGCCCACTTCTACTCACCTTCATGCTCAAATTTCAAAAAGCCCCAGGATAGTGCTGTGGGGGGGGGGGGGGGGAAGGCACACGCTGAGCAGAGGGGGCTTTACAGAACCCACCCCCCCACACCCGGTCCTGCAGGTCTCGCCACTCCTCAGACCACCCTGTCCTCTGAGGAGGGGCAAGAGTCTGCATGTGCCTCTTGGAGGTGACAGGACACAGGCGAAGCAGGAGGACATCTCCAAGGGGCTCCCGGACACTCCTCCCCAGGGCTCAGCCTGGCCGGGCACCTCTGAAGCAGCAGAGAAGGACGGGAAGGCCCAGCAGGAGCGTCTTGTTCATTTTGGAGGGAGACAGGTGTGGTGGCACTATAGGCCCTTATTTATACAGGGGAGGGTTGGGCATCTGGGGGCGGGGGTGGGCGCTCCTGCTCCTGGGAAACCGGGCCTCTCATATCTCTGGGGCTCTGTGAGAGGCTGATCACGTCTCGCCTCTTGGTTTCTGACATGCTTTTCTGTGGCTTTGCACCGTGTCCCGCGGGTCAGGGCTAAAGAGGAGTGGGGACAGGGCTGGCAGAACCAGCAGCCGTGCCAGGAGCTCCTTACAGCGCTGAGCAGGAACCACTTCCTGCCGGGGCAGTTTTCCTGTGTGGGGTGATTCTGAGGCGCAGGGCATCCTTCCCAGAGCGGCTGGAAGGGGGTGCCCTGCACTCAGAGAGGACCATATTTTCCATGGAGGGGTCATCTGGGAGGGCATTGACAGGGAGACTGAAGGACAGCCAGAGCGAGGGCTCCCCAGGCTCATCCCGAGCCCCCAGGAAGGACCTCCCAAGTGGCCTCTGCAACTCGGTCTCTGCTGCAGCCTGCACTCTGTCCTGGAGTGGCAGGCATGGTCTGTGTCCTGCCCCCATGCCTTGTGCACAGGGAAATCTGCAGCAAGGGGGTCACTCATCAGCCCGATGTTGGATGTGGTAGAGGACAAGAAGATGGACGCAGGGAGGGAGGTTAGTATACCATCCCAAAGGAGCCAGCTTGCCTTTCCTGTTGGGAAAGAGCAGTGTGACTAGCTAAACGCTTACGGGCACCTAGAACAAAGTCAAAGAGCAGCTCCATGCCATACATTTCTCTCTGTTTCTGGACCCACCCAGAGGTGCACACGGCTTATCCTGGTATTGCTTGAGGGTTGTTCCCGCAGGTGCTCTCTGTGTGTATGTGTGTGTGTGTGTGTGTGTGTGTGTGTGTGTGCATGCGTGTGTGTGTGTGTATTTGGGAGCATGGGCATGTATGATGCTGGGGATTGAACCCAGGACTCCCACATGTAAAGCATGTGCTCCAGTCCTTCGCGCTATGGTCCCTAGAGCACTGCCTGGTCTGATCCCTAAGCACCACCAGGTGTAGCCACCAAACAAAAGCAAAACAAAAATTGTGGTGCCAGGGATTGACCCCAGAGCCACCGACGACCCACAGGTATCTGTGTATGACTGAACCCCAACCCAAGTCTTCTCCAACTTTTTTTGGTTTGTTTTGGGGCCACACCTAGATGTAGTTGTAACTTACTCCTGGCTCCGTACTCAAGGATCACTCCCGGCTTAGAGGCACCTCTCCAAAGATGTAGAAGTACCCAGAGCCAAGAAGAAGGCCTGGGAGAAGTGCATCCCTTGGTCAGGACCCATCAGATGGGGGGAAGTGAGAACGGAGCCCGTGCTCAGGAAGGCTCTGTCATTCAGGGGTCTTCCTGGGAGGTTTTGTTGTTTGTTTTGGTGGGCAGGGAGAGAGGCTGGGCCACATCTGGCAGTTCTCAGGGCTTACTCCTGGCTCTGTGCTCAGGGATTACTCTTAGAGATACTCAAGGGACCATATGCAGTGCCATGGATGGAACGGGGGGTCAGTTGTGTGCAGGGCAAGTGCCTTACCCTGTAAACTGTCTCTCAGATCCTTCCTGAGGGTTTTATGCAGCTCCAGACAGGGTGGGAGGTGGGTTCTGGACACAGAATGCCCAGAAATTCAGTCATACATAATCCTGACAAGCCTGGGACCCGCCCTGATTCCAAGAACAGCCTGGAACACAGCCCATGATGTGAGGGGAACAGAACGTCTTCTTCCTGGAGCCTAGATCTGAGGTCATTTTTGATCACTGAAGTCCGGTGGGCAGCAGATGAGAGGTACAAAGCTTAGCCAGGTGAGAAACGGGAACAAGGAACTCTCAAATGAGACTATTCCACGCTGCTCAGCCTCCCAAGTGGGCGTGGGGGGAACACAAGGAACCTACAAACATGGAAGATACAAACTCCTCCTCATGTCAGAGGCTGACATCCAGGGTTAGGGAGAGCCCAGCTCCTCTCTCTGTCTCCGAAGTCCCTGGGAGGTATTTCCACATCCCAGAAAATGTGTCTGAAATGCCCGCATGAGGGTAGATGAGGAGACTCAGCTTGGGTCCACTGCAGTACCTAATTTCTGTCATTGCAAAATGATGGAATTGCCAAGATTGTAGTATCCCAGGTTTAAGGAATAGGGCATGATCAGAACCAGTACATTTCTCAGTGTGTGTATGCACACATGTGTGTGGGTGTGTGTGCACATACGTACACATATATTCAAGCTCCCTGTGGTGTATTCAATATGCCAAAAACAGTAACAAGTCTCCCAATGGAGACGTTACTGGTGCCCGCTCGAGCAAATCGATGAACAACGGGAGGACAGTGCTACAGAGCTACAGATACATTATATATGTATATATCACTATATCACTGTCATCCCATTGATCGTTGAATTACTCGAGTGGGCTCCAGTAATGTCTCCATTCCTCCCAGCCCTGAGATTTTAGCAGCCTCTTCTTACTCACCTTTTCCCAATGATTGGAGACTCTTTCAGGGTCAGGGGAATGAGACCTGTTGTCGTTACTGTATTTGGCATATTGAATATGCCACGGGGAGCTTGCCAGGCTCTGCCTGTGTGGGCAGGATACTCTCGGTAGCTTGCCAGGCTGTCCGAGAGGCATATATTTATATGTTTCTTTATTATTTGTATATATACGTATATACATATATTTGCATATATATGTATATATATCTTCTCTTTAATTGTCATAAGAGTTACTGAATTTGGGTTGTCTCGGCCTACCAGACCATTACCTTACTATTTTGCTTCCCATCTCTGGCCACTTAGTGCCCCCTCTTGGCTATGTGGGATATTGGGCAGATGGTCCTTTCTGATCCACCATCCATGATGCCTTTACTGGGACTGTGGAGGGTGGGAACCCGGAAACTATTCCCAGTGATACCTGGTGCTGCTGAGACCCAGCAGTGCTGGGGGACACCGGGGCTACTCTGGAGGTGGGCAGGGACCTTCAGGGTGTTCCCAGCTATGCTAGGGGTCAGGGTGTCACCTCGAGGCTGTAAGCATGCCAGGCCCGTGCTCTGGCTCCTCTAGCTATCCCCCAGGATCTTGTGTCTCTGGTTTTTTATTTTTCTCTTCAGTACCAGCCACCTGAGACTCTGCACATGAACAGATGTTCTCCTGCTTGATCTTTCTCCCTGGTTTCTTCTCCACTCATCACGTCATAGCTTTTAGTAAGTACCTCTGTGCACCAATGACCCCCAAATCTTTACCTTCCCAAGATGCCTCTGCCCCAGACATGATCACGATCATCCCATTGTTCGTCGATTGCCTCGAGCAGGCACCAGTAACGTCTCCTTCGTCCTAGCCCTGAGATTTTAAAAAGTGCCATATTCAAGGCTGTTTCAGGTTTAGGAGAATGAGACCCATCATTGTTACTGGTATTTGGCATATTGGGTACACCACGGGGAGTTTGCCAGACTCTGCCGTGTGGGCAGGCTACATTCGGTAGCCTGCCAGGTTGTCCAAAGTAAGAATGAGATAATAAGATGTTGGGAGTTGGGTTTTATAGCCTCTGAGTCTTGGCCATTGATGGGATTACACGGCGCCAGGGGGCCAGTTGGTGGGTGTGACCCCCGCCTACTGGAATTTGGAGGATCTGGGTGGAGGATGCTCAGCCCTGATCCGAGTAGGCTTGGAGATCTCAGCCCCAGGACCTGCATGCCTTTGTTCCTCTGCCGGTACCTTCATGTGTGTGAAGAGTGGTCTCAGCATGGTTGTGGCTGGTTCTGGAGGTCTTTGACTGCCGGAGCTCTGCTCGGGGCGGGAAGGGAAACTCAACTCCTCCCCCTCCAAGGGGCCCCAGCGAGGACAGCCAGGCCAAAGGACAGGAGTCTCTGCACTGTTTTCTTCTGGGAGCTGGGTTTTATAGTCTCTAGGTTTTGCCGTTGATGGGATTACATGATGCTGGGGGTCAGTTGGTGGGCGTGACCCCTGCCTACTGGAAAATGAAGGATCATATTTCTTAAATAGGGTACTTTTCTCACCATCAAAAACAAAAACAAAAGACTTGAACAAATAACGAACTATGTCTCTCTCTCTCTCTCTCTCTCTCTCTATATATATATATATATATATATATATATATCTCACACACACACACACTTGCAATATTACTCAACTCTAAGAAAAGATGAACTCCTGGATGGAGCAATAGTACAGCAGTTAGGGCATTTGCGTTGCACACAGCCAACCTGAGTTCAATTCCCGGCATCCCATATGGTCCCCTGAGCCCCATAAGGAGTAATTCCTGAGTTTTGAGTCAGGAGTCATCCCTGAGCATCTCCAAGTATGGCCTGGAAACAAAACAAAAAGAACAGAGCAGGATTCTGACTCCTGATCAAGCTGCTTAACGGCCATGATCCCAGAGACCTCAGGAGCAAATCTTGGAACCCAGCAGGTTTTGGCAGAAATCCCTCCAGATTTAAGTGTTAAAATTTTGGAATTTCAAAACCGCGCGGCCACTACTGCAGCCACGCGACATCATGTTATTCATAACCAGCAATAGAAAACAAATTGTCTACTGTTGCCTTTTCAGCAGATCTGAGTGTTGGGATAAAATCTCAAATAATAATGGTGGGTCTGGTGTCAAAATATTGAATGTGATCAAAGTAGAGAAAAACTAATGTGGAAATCATCTGCCCCACAGGTAGGGATGGGGATATACTGGGGTTGTTGGGGGTGGAGAATGGGCACTGGTGAAGGTACGGGTGTTTCATTGTATGACCGAGACTTAGACCTGAAAACTTTGTAACTGCTCTCATGGTGATTCAATAAATAAAATCATAAAAAAGGAAAAAAAGTAAGGTGGAGTTCATGCACAATTCAATCAGCTAATCAGTGGCTGAATAGATAGCAGTACTCCTACATAAAAAAAAGAATAGAGCAGGAAAGAAAAGATGAACTCCTGCAGTTCACTGAAACTTGGGCAGGACTGAAGGAATCAGG